TCTGCGGGCTCGGGGCGCTGCGCGGGAGCCCCCCGGAAGTGCCCTGCCTCCGCCGCCCAGGCTGCACTGAGAGCTGCCCGGCGCCCAGACGCGTGCCCGCTCCTGTGGGTGGGTGGCCTGGAGTTTGGGCGAGAGAGACGGGTCGGGCGCGAAGGTTTGGCAGGAATCGAATAAATGCAGTCGACGGTTCTCCTGGTCAAGGATCACATTTCTTTTCCTCCCTAGCTAGGAAGTATTTAGTTTTGTTGTTTTGTTTTTTTTTTTTTTTTTTGGTTTTTCTGCGGTACCGGGAATCGAACTCACGACCTCGCGCTTGCCAGGCAGGCCCTGTGCGGCTGAGCTAAATCCCCAGTATGTAGTTATAAAACGTCAGACCCCCAAGGTTGGACAACAGGGTCTCAAACTTGGGTGCAGTCCAGGCATACGTTAGTGGGCACCTGGGGCCCCGGTAATGACGAGAGTGCCAGCCACATGCCAGTTTGTGTTAAAAGTAAAATGGCAACCTTGTCCTTTCAGTTAGGTTCCTTTCTGCGGAGTCCACTTACCCCAGTGTGGCAGAAGGCTCCTCATGCTCCAGCTTCTGGAACACCTCCTGTCATCTTCACAGACCCACCACTGCTGCTTTCATAAAAAAAAAGGTGAATGGTAAACCCGTAGAGATAATACAGTGTAATTCAGCCATCAAAAGAATGAGTCGATTCGGTTATCCATATGACTGAGAAGAACCTTAAACCCGAAGGTTTCTTAGCAGTACAGTATATACTATTGCATCCGATTTCCTTTCAGATTGTTTTTACTCTGATATTCAATTATCATTACCTATACCCATCCTTATTGATATTGGGAAATGAGGAGGAGGCCTTTAAATGGCAGAGGTAGAAAAAAGCCTTAGATTACAAAAAAGAAAAGAAAATCAAGTCGAGCAAAAGTCTACGTGTTCAATGTCAGAATTCATAACATTTCAGCCTACAGCGCTTTAGAGTCTGCATTCTTCCTACCACAGGACAAAAGAGGTCATTGTCATTGACCCTGCTTCACCGAAAATGTCAGGGCCACCTCTTGGTGTACCATTCCAAAGTGAGATTTGTGTTGGACACTTGTGAACAGTAGATGTAAGAAGCGCCCTGCCTTTTGAATTAATGCCAGCTTCATGACTATGCCTCTAATGTTGAGGCCAAGCCAAAAAAAATACACTTCCTACCGTTGAGGTCAGTATTTTCCATGAGAAGTTCAGGGGAAATAAATATTGACTGAGTGAAAGAGCAAGTATGAAAGTAAATGTTACCTACTTTGAGACCAAATTTTTAACCATAGAAGTAGCAATCATGAAACCTGTCATAGCCTACTTGACAAATGTAACATTAGCAGTTCACTCTCAAAGCTGGTGGAGAAATCTATGAATTTTTCTTTTGCTTGCCTGTTTTACAAAATTCGTTTTTCCTTCTTGAGAGTAAAAGCATCATCATTTAAATTAGGGATCACTGCAGATGTGCAGTCTGCAATTCTGAAGCCATTGATAATGTCATCAGTTATTTTATTATAGTCTTACATCAGCATCAAAACAGTTTCATGAGCACATTTCTAGACAAGGCTGAATTTTTAAAGACTCTGTACTGTTTTAAAAACAGCAAGTTGCAAATTTAGTAATTATGATTACAAGTATATAAAAATATGCTAGTAAAAGGATATTTGAAAAAGATTATAGCTGGTAAGGATGTTGGTATTACGTAGGATTTTCCGAATGTGTTCTATTTGTATTACATTTATAATTAAATACATGAAAAATGTATAAAGGGACTGGTACTTTCAAAAGTTAAGGTCGGATTTCAGTGGATGAACTCGACTGATCCATCTGACGGTTATCAGGAGGAAGCATAGAGAAAAAGTGTGTGTGTGTATTCACATATAACACACAATTTATTCCAGAGACTCTATAAAGAAAATTATTTCATTTTCAAAGTGTGGTGAGGCTTTGATCAAAGGTATAAACAAGATCCCAAAGTGACAGATAAAGTGGTGATTTCCCTTTTACAAATCCATACAAATTAATATATTAGGAGATTTGAATTATTAAATTATTAATGAAATAAAACTTGCTCCTACAGATTTCAGATTTACAGGTCCACTCCAGAGATTCACTCATGTATTGCAATGTAAAAGTTACTTGTACTTGTTTAATTGTATTTGCTTTTCCTTCATTAATACAGTGTCAACACTTTATCCACACATACAAACACAGTTTACTAACTCTGTTTTAAGTGAAACTGAAGTTGCATACTAGAGGAGAAGCATACTGCTACTTAATCTGTTTCTTCATAGCACTACTAGCTTCAACACACTGTCCATACTACACAGATGCTAGGTTCCTGAAGTATCCATAGAAGATGTTAGGGGAGAAACGACCAAATATGACCACTGAATAAACAAATGTACAGGCCCCAAGCCCTGCTCTTTCCACTCTTCTTTTCGTCAAAGGTCAGAGATACGTTGTAGTTCAAAGCCATGAAATACTGGAGTTAGCTGCATAAAAGTAAGAAAAGTCAAAAAAAAGCTTGGACAGCCTCTCTGAGGCAAAGTTACTTGTTCATTTTCTTCTAAAAAATGCTTCTGTTGAAGGACTACTGTGAGTCTTCTAAGTGCTAGAGGTAGGGAGAAATAAGACAGCATGCTCAGTGAACTTGCTGTCTGGTGTGAGAAAATGAACACTAAAAATTATAAAACAACGGGCGAGTGCTGCTACAGTAAAGTGCCAGGGGCTTATGGGAACAATAACAGGGCACCAAAGTAAGAGAATATGGATGGAGAATGGCCCAGGGAGTTTCCTCTGTCAACTATCACCTGAGCTGAGCCTTTAATTAACTAGAGGAAAAGGTTGTGTTCCAACCTAGGGAGCAGAACATACACACAGGCCTTTAGCTATTTTTTTCCTGTCACTTATCTAGAACGCTACTTGTTTCACTCTTCTAATCAATAGATTGCCTGGCCCTATACACCCATGGTCTTGTGCTGAGGAAGTAAAAAAGTGCGGAGGGGTGGGGTGGGGATGTTACCTACAGTACAAGTAAAATGGGTTCAGAATGACTACTTAGTATTGTAAATTTGTTTCTGTAATCCAAAAACGTAGGTGGTATTCTTGCTTTTACAGGCAGTACTCTTATGCCAGGCAAACATTTTACCTCTAAGGCTATTAATAAAACTGGGCTATTTATTCATATATAAAAGGTACCGTGAATTACAGAGTTCTGAAGAAGTACTCACGTGGATTTCAAGTCTAGCTCCACCCTTTACTGAGTTTTCCTGTTTATAAAACATGGTGTAACCTTTGCCTGTTCATAGCACTGTTGAAGAATCAAATGACTTGTATCTAAAACACTAAAAATTGTTAGCAGTATTCAAAATAATAGATTGCTTTATGGTTATAGTATTTGTATGACATGGAAACATGAGTGTGCCTATAATTTCTTTGGAAAACTACCCTTTCCCCAGCCTTAGTCTATTGATCTACATTGGGATGCCTACTAGTGAAGCAGAGAAGAAAAGATATGAGACACTGAAAGAGAAAATATCCACATACCCTCACTCAGGTGCTTGGCTCAAGAGTGGTTCTGGGGTGTTGTGGGAGTGGCCAAAAGCATCTCAGGATTCATTTCCAGCCAGCAAGGCATTCAGACGCCATTACAGCCATGGTTTAAGTGGGACCAGATAGTCACACTTACAATAGACAATGTCATCCATGCTGTGCTGGTTTTGCAGGCATGTAAAATGCAAGAGTTATGGGATCATGTGTGTTGCCCTAAGGCATTAAAAGAAACCCTAAGAGACGAGGGGTTTCTAAGAGGCAAGGCAGTGCGTAACACGATCAGAATCCTTGCAAGTACCCCCCAACAGAACAATGTGTGGAGCCAAAGTCAAGCCAGAGCTGCGTGGAATATCCCAAGAAGACAGAGATGACAGCAACATGGAAAGTCTGCTGATAAAAACTACAGGCAATGGGTAAAAACGAGCCCAAGAAGAGTGACTATTTGGGCTGAAACTAGTAGAGCAATAGGGTGTAGCTGCCAAAGCCTTTGGGAGTTTAAAAAACACCATGTGCTCCAAATGCTGGACATGGAGCTATAGCATTTAGCATTTGCCCCACTGCATTTCAGTCTCATCCCCTCTTGGTATTTTCCTATCCTGCCCTTTGGAATGGGAATATTTATTATTATTGCTTGTGTTTGGGTGTCCACCCCAAA